CAGTGCTGGCATCCCATGTGGGTGCCGGTTCTAGTCCTGGCTACTCCTCTTCCAATCCAGCTCTCTGCTATGGCCTGGGAAAGCAGTAGAAGATGGCCCAAGTCCTTGGGCCCCTGCACCCACATGAGAGACCCGGAAGAAGCTCCAGGCTCCTGGCTTTGGATTGGTGCAGCTCCGGCCATTGCAGCCAATTGGGGAGTGAACCATTGGTTGGAGGACCTCTCTCTCTCTCTCTCTCTCTCTCTCTCTGTAACTCTGACTTCCAAATAAATAAATAAATCTTAAAAAAAAAAAAAAAGCACAGAGCCAAACAAGCCTTCGTTCAAAGAATGCTTCCAAGATGGAGATAGTTCTTTGAAACCACATGACACATCTTGATAGGAATATAAATTGGCACAATGTGTTAGAGCACCATTGGGCAAAATTCACCATTTTTTCTCCCTATTTACTGTTAAATATTAACAGTTTATTATAATGTAATTCACACACCAATGAAGTCATCCTTTTAAGGAATACAATTCAGTGATTTTTATTATATTCACAATTATACCACAATCAGTACTTTCTTATTTTAATGTATTTTCATCAGTCTCCAAAATAATTCCCATACTTAGTAACAGTTATTCCTCATTGTTGCCTCCTACAAGCCCTTCAAAATCATTAATCAGCTTTCTGTCTCTATGACTTTGCCTATTCTGGACAGTTCATTTCAATGGAATCCTACAGTATATGACCTTTTGTGTGGCTTCTTTCGTGTAGCATGACATTTTCAGTGTTTCTTCTTCTCTACATAGAAATAATTGTACTTCTTCCTTGGCCAAATAAGATTTTATTGCATTTTATTGCACAGATGGATGTTTGGGTTGTTTCTTGCTATTAAGTATGAATTTTGGCAGACAGGTATTTTCATATCTCTTGGGTTTATACCTCAAAGTAGGGTTACTGTGTCTTGTGAGAGCTCTATGTTTTACCCTTTGACTTACTGTCGTACTATTTTCCAGAGTAATTGCACCAGTTCCTCATCCTATCAGCAGTGCTTGAGGGTTTCAATTTCTTCATGTCCTTGCCAACATTTACTATTATCTTAATTTTTGGTTATATACATCTCACTAGATATGAATTGGTATTTCATGTGGCTTTTACTTGTATTTTCCTGATAGCTAATGCTGTTGAGCATCATACTTTTGATCATCTTTTTACTGGCCATTTGTACGTATTCTTTGGAGAATTATCTACACAAATACTTTGCCAGTTTTGAAACTGAGCTACTTATCTTTTAATTGTTGAATTTTAAGAGTTTTTAATGAATGCAGTGTCCTTGTCAGATATATAATTCTTAAAAATTTTCTTCCATTATCTGGGTTGTATTTTCACTTTTTTGTTGATGTTCTTTGAAGTACCAATATTTTAAATTTTATTAATTCCTACTTGTATATGTTTCTTTCTTTTTTTTTTGAATATGTTTTTTGGGGAGTATCATACCTAAGAAACCATTGCCTAATCCAATGTCACTAAGATTCACAGGTATGAAAATGTGATACTCAAAATAATATTCAACAAGAAAAGCAAATTGTAGGACTCTTAATTCCCAACCTCAAAACCTACATCAGTGCTATAATATTCAAGATGGTGAGGTCCTGGTATAAGAATCTATAGAACAATAGAAATTGGGAGTAAAGAAATAAATCCTTATAGTGAAGTCTATGACTCATTTTGTCTTAATTTTTATATGTGGTGTGAGGTAGGATTTTAACTTCATTCTTCTGCATGTGGTGATCCAATTGTTCCAGGACTATTTGTTGAAGAATATCTTTCCCCAGTCTAATTGTCTTGGCATGCTTATTGAAGGTCCACTGACCTTTAATGTAACTTATACCAATACTGATACTGCTTTGAAATTGGGAAATGTGAGTCCTATTTTGTTCTTCCTGTTCAAGAGTGTTTGGAACATTCTGGATTCTTTGCATTTTAATAATTATTTGAGGATATGCTCACCAATTTCTATTGTAGAAAGGCAGTTGGAAATTTAATCCATTTGACTGCATTGAATCTGTAGAACAACATGGGAATACTGTCATCTTAACAACATTGTTTTCAAATCGATGCATATGTGGTATTCTTCCATTTGTTTAGAGCCTATTTAATTTTTTTCAATGATAGTTTATAGTTTTTAATGTATAATAGTTCCCTCTTATTTGCAGGGGATAAGTTCTAAGACCACCAGTGCATTCCTGAAACTGCAGATAGCTCCAAACCCTACATATACTGTTTTTCCTGTATATACATAACTATAATAAAGTTTAGTTTATAAATTAGGCACAGTAGTAGATCAACAATAACAGCTAATAATAAAATCGAATAAGTATAATATATATACTATAATAAAAGTTATATGAATATGGTCTCTCTTGATATTTATTGTATTATATTCACTCTTTACCTTCTTTTTATGAAATAGCACAATGCTTACATGATGAGATGAAGTGAGGTAAATTATGTAGGCATTGTTGCATAAGGTTAGGCTACTAGTAATCTTATTTAAACTCTTAAGCTCTATACTACTGCAACAGTCTATCTGATAACAAACATGGCTACTAGGTAACTAATGGCAAGTAACTTATACAGCATGGATATGTTACATTGTGTAAAGGAATGATTAGTGTCCCAGAGGGGACAGAACAGGATAGTGTGAGATTTCATCATAGTAATCAGAATGCTGCATAATTTAAAACTCTGAGTTATTAATCTATGGAGCTTTCTACTTTTTTTTTAGTCTTTTTTTTATTTTTTTATTTTTTGACAGGCAGAGTGGACAGTGAGAGAGACAGACAGAGAGAAAGGTCTTCCTTTGCCGTTGGTTCACCCTCCAATGGCTGCCGCGGCCGGCACGCTGCTGGCGGCACAGCGCGCTGATCCGATGGCAGGAGCCAGGTGCTTATCCTGGTCTCCCATGGGGTGCAGGGCCCAAGCACTTGGGCCATCCTCCACTGCACTCCCTGGCCACAGCAGAGAGCTGGCCTGGAAGAGGGGCAACCGGGACAGAATCCGGCGCCCGGACCGGGACTAGAACCTGGTGTGCCGGCGCTACAAGGCGGAGGATCAGCCTAGTGAGCCGCGGCGCCGGCCTGGAGCTTTCTATTTAATATTTTCTGAGTGCAGCTGATTTCAGGCACTTGAAATCACAGAAAGCAAAACCATGGATAAGGGGAAACTCCTGTACAAGCCTTGTACTCATCTTGGTGAATTAATTTCTTGAATATTTTATTTTCTTCATTATTAATATGAGACTGTCTTGATTTCATTACAAGTATAAATAAATGCGACTGATATTTTAGAATGAATAACATTGTATCCTGTAAACTGAATGAACTTGTTTATTAATTCTGATAGTTTTCTAGCAGATTCCTTAGAATGTTCTATTTATCAGATTAAGTCATCTGCAAACAGAAATCCTTTTACTCCTTCCTTTCCAATCTGTGTGTCACATCCTCTGAGGTTTGCCTGTCAAGTGCACACACAGGCTCCCCTTCGTGCTCCAGTCTGGTGTCAGCACAGCTGGGCCTGTGAATCTGGGGAGGTGAGCAGATGCCAGGCAGGGTACAAGCGCCCTGGCTGTACTTGGTGCACGCACCTAGTTTCCAGAGGGTCTTACAAACCCTCCCTTTGTGACCTGGTGATGAGAAAGACTGGAGCACAATTCCCCAAGGGCTTCATGAGTAATAGACTTTCCCACCTTAAGGAGTTTCTAGTATTTTTTAATATGTTCTGGAAACAGGTGATAAGTAATATTCAGGCTATCTGTTTAGACACATTTTAGTAAATTCTATGTGAATACACTTAAGAGCTCTTCTTCAGAAATTGAGACAATTTTTTTAAATGTTATGTAAGGTATACAAATTTCATGTATTTCATATATACAGATTCAGGAACATAGCATGAAGAAACTGTTCCTCAATAGTAGAGACAAGGGCTGTGAACAGTCATCGAATGTCAAAATGTCCATTTCACTCCAATACATTACATTTTAGGTATTCTATTAGTTACTGCAAATCAGGGAAAACATATATCTGTCTTTGAATATGAGGCAATATTTTATTATAATATTGTATTTACACTTGAAAATATACATATACTATGATCCTAAAATTTCTCTTTTAGAAATCTACCCAAGTAGATTTCTAGTAGTAACTAGGAATATCTGGAAAGATACAGCTTTGAAATCTAAACAGCAACAACAAAAATAGATTCAATCTAGCTGTCCAACAAAAGAGAGTTTGTCAAACAATACAGAGAAATGCTAGGTAGCCACTATGAAGAAAATCATAAAAGTTTATTCAATACCACAAAAGGATTTATAAAACACATTAAGTGACAAAATAGGTTATAAAATAATATTGTGATAAAATTGTATTTTGTATAAAAATGTTTAGGCATGGGACAAAAGCATGGAAGAAAAGAAATCAAAACATTGCACATCACAAGTGTTTTTCATGCAATCATAGGTCTTTATTTTCTTATTGCTTATAGTCTAGACAACTATTTATTACATTTGTAATAAAATGAATTTATTTTATTTCCAAATAGATGAATGAGCTGAGAGTGGTTTTGTAGGAGCAGACACAGCTCAAGTGGAACATACACAAAAAAGTGCTGTTTCATGAAAGATGGAAACAAATTTCCAACTGACCCAAGGATAAAACCAAGGCCCAGAAGTAGAAATACTACAGAAACAACTTTCTACTCAATACAAATAACTTCCCTATGATCAGAGTTTTGTTCCTGAAGGAATAATGAGCTTCCCATCACCAGGAGCAAGTTGGCCTATTTTGTGTGATTTCGTGGTAGGGATGACTGGAGACAATTAGATCGAAGCCTGTCTATCCCATCATCATAAAAAACATTGATCGGCTGTGGGTCTACACCAGCAGAAAGCAAGCCGATTTCCACGTATGATCACTGATAGTCTTAATCCATGACAGTGCATTTTCTCTTTTGTTTAGCCCGTTGGTCTTTGCAAAGGTACTCTGATTCAAAATCCACTAGAGAAGCGTGTCACGGTGACTTGTGACTTCTTTGAACAACAGGTACTTTTCAATCTAATTATTTGTCTTTTGGGGTTGAGGGGGCGGGGCAGAGCTGATTTTCTGTATTTAGCTGACACCCCACCCCTTCCTTTGATTTTCCCAAGACCAATGATCACCACTTTACTCAGGCTAAGGCCACGCCCCCACAGCAACTCGTCCAAGGCCTGTTCCACTTTTCTCTGAGGCATTAAATTCCATGTTCCAAAGAAGCCTTACCCCAAACCACAGTGGGGGAGTCGTTTCCAGAAGCCCTTATCGAGCACTTTCTGTGAGGCAGCTTGCTGTCGCTGGCAGGATGGTTGAGGCCGGGTACCTGGGCTCCAGTCCTGCTCTGTCACCTGTGAGCTGTGTGCCCTTACTGTCTGAGTCCTAGAGGAAGGTGTTGCAACTCCACCTCATTCAGACCCTTGAGAAACAAGTGCTGATGGGCACTGTACAAACCCTAGCACAACGCACACAATCAAAAGAAGGCAGCTGCTGGTGCCACAGTTGAGAACAGGGAGACAGCTTTCTAGGGACTTGCAGCAAGTTGTTGAACTTCTCTGGGCTGTTGTCCAGCTCTGGCATCATGAGACTTGCAGCCAAGCTTCAACAGGGCTTGGTCGCCCTGGCCCTTACCTGTTTTGCTTGTCAAGCTTTTCACCAGGAAGCCCATCCCTTTAGCTAGTCTTCCTTTGGAACCTCCTACCAGAAGCTCACAGACCAGCTCAGCCTGGTACCTCGCATGACAGAGCTTTCCTTACAGAACTCTGCATTGGAAACCATTCTTATTTCAGGCTCCTGCCCCTGGAACTGAAAGCCTTGCTGGTGACCAGGGACCTTCAAACCTCCCCAACGTGGAAGAGCTCCAGCAGAAAATCACACCACCTACTGACACCCCCTCCAAAGTGCTGTCAACGGGAATTGTCCAACACCTCCCTGACTTGGATGATGAGAAGCCCGAAGGCTCCCAGGGAGAGGGCCCTCCGGAGGCCTTTCCCGTGCAGCTGGAGCTAACCACAAATCCCCAGGGAGAACTCCTGGATGTCTCCTTCCTCTTCCTGGAGCCCATAGAGGTGAAGCTGGTCATCCTGCCTTTCCCCAAAGAAGACCAACACTCTGGCCAGTGCCCAGGGCCGGCCCAGAACTTCGACCCTCTTATCCTCCCACCGTGAGACCCAGTGGATTCCACGGGGGTGTGGTGCTCTGCACGAGATGAAAGGCTGGGGGGAAGAGGGACAGGGAGTGAGTTCAGATGCAGAGAAGCCTAATAAAGTGTGGTTTTCTGATTCTTCTTCATCTCAACACATTGGCTGGAAATGGAAATAAGGGGCCCACACCCTCCCCTCGGGCTGCACCATGCGCAGTGCATCGTGCTGCTCGCCGGAGACTGCTCGCCGGAACGGGAGATTGCTTCCTAGACAGCGCAGTCTCCTGTTTTGGATACCGGCTTCTCTAGAGTCTCTGTGTTAAAGCGTTCCCCGAGCAGAGTCGCTTTCTCTAATACCAAGGGATATGCGAAGCAAAGCCCAGCAACTCCGTTCTCTACATCCTCTCATGACAAGATCCAGTTTAGCTAGGTATTATCTGTAGCATTGCCAACCCTCTGTCTCTTTTCATCTGTTTGAAAGTCTGGGCCTCCAGAGGGAGGCCCCTCAGAGTTGGGACATGTGGCAGACGTGCACCTGTGGCCTGTGCCGGGTACTGCGGTAACCCCAAACCACAATAAGCCTCCTCATTAGCACACTTCCCCTCAGTGCAGGTGCTAAAGGCCCTTCGAGACATTCAATCATAGCCCTCTTTTTCTATATTTAAAAGCATGTGAAGCGTGGGCATTTAGCTTAGCAGTTAAGACACAAGCTACAATGCTTGCATCAGCCGCCAGTATTGCAGCACCATAGATCTGGCTGTGGCTTGTGAGCCTGGAGTCCCAGATAGTCCACTTCCAATCAGCTCCCTGGTACCTTGTCCGGGAAAGTAGTGGAAGATGGCCCAAGTGTTTGGGCTCCTGCCACCCATGTGGGAGACCCAATTTGGGGAGTGAACCAGAAGATGGAAGATCTCTCTCTCTCTCTCTCTTTCTCATTCATTTCAAATAAATAACTCTAAAGAATAAAAGATGCACACATCCTACATCAGAGTACCTCCATAGAACATCTGGCTCTGGTTCCAGAGTCTGGCTCTGACTTCCTGCTAATGCAAACTTGGGGCGGCATCAGTGATAGCACAAGTGACTGGGTTCCTGCCACCTGCACAGGAGGCCTGGACTGTGTTCCCGGTTCCTGGTTTCCAGTCCAGTCCCAGCCGTTGCAGGCATTTAGGAAGTCTAGGGGGGAGCTCTGTCTCTCCCTTCCCCCGTCTCCCTCTAAAATTAATTAATAAAATTTTAAAAACTGTAGGACAAACGTCCCCTTGGTTAAAAGTAAGTATGCGCTCATGCACACAGGCACACATTAAAGACAGGACTATCGACATTTTGGCAGGATTCGCAGCTGTGACTTCTCCTCCATCCTGGCAACCACGTCTTGGACGAGGCACACGGGCTTTGGCATAATTTACTAAAGGGAAATAGAAAATATCCACACTTGGGCCGGCGCCACGGCTCAATAGGCTAATCCTCCACCTAGCGGCGCCGGCACACCAGGTTCTAGTCCCAGTCGGGGTGCTGGATTCTTTCCCGGTTGCCCCTCTTCCAGGCCAGCTCTCTGCTGTGGCCCGGGAAGGCAGTGGAGGATGGCCCAAGTGCTTGGGCCCTGCACCCCATGGGA